TTAAATTTTTCGTTCGTATTTTTTGTATTTATTAAATTACTTATTATTAATACAACATTATTCAAATCTAAATGGATATAACATACCAATGATAATGTCTTTCTCGGTATAAGCACGATACATTCGCTAAGTCTCTGCCATCCACAAGCCTATAGATAACAATTAACACTGCTCTTGTATATATTCCTTCTTCATTAAATTTCTGTTTAACCAAAATTTCAAGAACATTAAAGTATCTATAAATTAAATTTGCTCATATTCACCAGGCCCCAAAAAAACGCAAATACGCGAAATTGACGTCGATTAATTTCAACAGCTAAAAAAGCCTCTTGATCGTAACTGTTAATCACATCTCACATGCACAGACATAGCGAACAATGGAAGTAACACATCTTAGGCGACCTTGTGCAGAAGTAGACCACACATACAAAGAATTGCGACAGATCAGTAACATTTGTGTCCTTCAAACTAAAAGTAGAGGACTAAGATAAGTTATGTTCTACTCAGCAGTGAATCTGTAAACCATGAAGTGCTTATATATCTGACCAGGATACACAATTTGTGATGGGAAATTTGGATGATTCACAGAATCTGGAAAACCTTGTGTTTCCAAGCAAAGAGCACCAAACCGGTGATATATGAATCCACCTTTGCCTTTCACATCTTTCAACATGTTACCGGTATAGAATTGTACCCCAGGTTGGTTTGACCATAGTTCCATCTTCCTCCCAGAGACTGAGTCCTTTACCACAGCCACTCTACGGAAGTGCTTGGAATTATTCCCATTCTCGTCCACCACGTAGTTTATGTCATAGCCATTAGGCAGTTTATGAATTTGACTTGCAATTTCCTTAGGTTTAAGGAAGTCATATGGGGTTCCCTTCACTGGCTTGATCTCACCTGTAGGAATGAGTTCCTCATTGACAGGTGTGATTTGTGAACAAATAGCTGAATTGTGTGTGAGAGAATGTCTCCACTGTCATGGCCCCTCAAGTTCCAGTAACCGTGCTGAGCTAGATTCACTGGTGTGGCTTTGTCAATGGGCTTTGCTTTCATCTTCACTATCAACTTGTTGGTTTGAAAGAACATGTATGTAACAACAACCTTAAGTTTTCCCGGAAACCCTAGGAATTGTAAATATTGTCAGAGAGAGACAGACAAATACTTTTTTTTTGTTACATGTAAACCAAGAATGAAAGTACCTTGTTCTTTGTCAGAACTGACATAGCTAAATGTGATGTGACTGTCTACTTTGTGGGAAGTTACGTTCCATATAACTTCGCTGAAACCTTTGGGACCACCTAATATTAAGTCAACATGGAACAAAGTTATATTAGATGGTGGGTTAAAAATAACAACTTGGTTGGAATTAAATGCTTAGCATATACCGTGAAGAGTGTTGTTTCCATCATTTGCAGGCAAATGGTAGGTTTTGCCATTTAAAGTAAAGTGAGCTCCTCCAATTCTATTAGCCACACGTCCAATAAGGGCACCAGAGTATACTGTATCATTCTGCAACATATCAAATTAAACCACAAATTAAATATAAAGTTATTTTGATTGACATGGATGTGAATGTAACTTTAGTATAACTACTAAGGTAGTAGTTGGTGGTGAAAAATTCATTTCTTATACCAAAGTTACATTCACATCCATGTCAATCAAAATAACTTTAGTTGGTGGTGAAAAATTCATTTCTTTTCAACTCTCTTACCAGAATTATTCGATCTACTATGGAGCTAATTGACCTATTAAAAGAGAGTAAAATTTGAATGCAAAGTTTGATGCTGCTGCTACTAGCAGAGGTCGATCGGCTTAAAGATGATAAGTTTTAATTCTAGTTAAAGCAAAAAAAATAAAAAATAAAAAGAAATAAAAGACAAGAAGAGAAAAATCAGTGAAGGACATACAACCAACCCCAAGAAAACAATCCTTCTGAATCTTAATATATATGTTCTAAAAAGCCCCTCCATTTCAAAAGCTCGACACAGACAAAACTGAACCCAATCTTCCCTCCCATTCATCATACCTTGTACGAGTCAACTGAATCAAAGCCAAGGACAATATTGGCCAATTTTCCTGGAGAAACAAACGCAACAGAAAACATTTGAAGATTATACGACAAACCAAACATAATCTTTATCATAAAAATGGAAAGAGGAGCAAGGACGAAGCTATATGAAAGACAAACCATGCCTATCAGGGACCATTAAAGACATAATTGTAGCGCCATAGTTTGTTAACTTGATCTGGAACTGTCCTCTCCTCAGCTCATAAATTCCCACCTTGCCACTTTCTGCATCAACTCCGAAAAGAAACACAAGCCCCAGAAGAATGCAGAAAGCCAACGATGGTTTAGACATGGTGAAATGGGTCACAGAGAATTACTGTTAACAATATTCCAGTGCAAATAATGAAAGCCAGAAGCACGTGAATATATGGAAGGCTCAAGATAAAAATAACTGGTTTTCATTATTCAAGGATTTTGATTGTACCGTTTTGGAAACCAAAAAAAAAAAAAAAAGAATCTAGCTAACTCTGACTGTACTTCTGTTCGGATAGGATTTTGGGCTCTTATCGTTATCTAATTACGCTTGTGTATATAGGAATCTCATCAAGGTTTGAACTTTGAAGAACCTGATATTTTTATTCCACAATTTTGCTGATTGATGCAAATCAGCAAATTAATGATTATAACTTTCACCCATCATAATAGTGAATGGATAGTGCTTGGTTCTGTTGACCTTAATGGATTGTGCTTTTTGGGGCTTGGGAAAGATCACGGGTAGAATGTAAATGTAATATAAATATAAGAGCTAGTTTGACTTTTAATTTGATCATAAATATAAGATTACAATCCACTATGTCTCTCATATTTATCTTTTTTTTTTTTTAAGTAATACTTGTAGCAGTTTCACATATTAAAAATTCCATCAAATAATCCTCTGGTCTTTAATATAGGACTCAATTCTTGAGTTAGTTTTGGTCCTAAATATAAGACCAATTATCATATTTATCAATTTTCTCTAAATTACCGCTATAGATACTCCCTCAACCATAATCAAGTAGAAGAGGGAGAGGGGATATTAAGAAAGAGATTATGGTGTTTTATTTAGGAAAAATATGTCACTTTTCTTATAATTAACTAATTTACCTAACTCCTTAATCTAATCAAATTAGATAAATGGCTCTTATATTAAGGACGGGAGGAGTAGTAGTTTTAGCTAATACATATGATTACCAAGAATATTTTAGAGAAAATAACATCTAGTTATTACAAATAACTAACTTAAAAACTTTTTTAATCTACTCAAATTAGTCAATTAGCTTTTATATTTTGGAGCGAAGGTAGTATTAATATTATTTTCAATATGCAATAATTTGATTTTTAATGTTGCCACTACAACCACCATTCCCACTAGTCCACTACCAACAACAACAAATGATGATAGTTCATGTGAATGAGTCAATTATCATGGTAAGAACGTGATATGGTGAGACTCATTGTTACTTTAGTTAGATGCAGGGGAATTAAGTACCGACATTTTTCTTTAGATAATTCATTATATATAATTGTGATTTATAAATATTTTATTCTGTTATAAATTCCACATTGATATTTCCTATATCCCATTAACGGTCGTTTCCTTGGTAGCATCATAAGGGTTTTTTTCTCTTTTCACTGTTTGCACATATTCTTTTTTTTTTCCCCCAAAAAATTAGATGAATAAGCACTAACGGTTTAGAATTTTATGCGAGTTCTGTTTTTTTTTTTTTTTTGGGTCTAACAGAATTACATGGGAGTTCACATGAACTTAAAAAGAAAGAAATATTCACATTGTAGTCACCATATAACTCCATCCGGCCAAGAGAAGCAGGACAAGCCATAATAATAACTTAATAAATCATGCAATTAAAGTTTCTTTTTAAAATAATTTGTTAATACACTGTCAACTCTATATCGTTACCACCATCTGTCCATTGTCACTGCCAGTGTAACATCCCTTAGCTATTACTACCTCCGGTCCTAAATATAAGACTTAGTTGATTTATTTGATTAGATTAAGAAAATAAGTTAAATTAATTATTATAATAAATAGGTATTGTTTTTTCTAAAATATCTTTGCTAATCAAGTTTATTGGCTAGAACTACTATTATCAGAAGGATTATCTTGAAAAAAAATAGATAAATATGATAAATAAAGTGGATTGAAGTCTTATATTTAGAACCAAAATAAAAGTCAAACGAGGTCTTATATTAAGAATCGAGTTAGTACAATTACTAGGAACGCTATCACTTTTTCTTAAGGAAAAAAAAAATTAGAGAGAGGAATACCAGAAGCTTGATGTTATAACTGAAATCAGGTCTATGACCTTCTACTTACTATCACTTATAATAAGACTATTACTATTTTCATTGGATATTAATATTACTCATACTACTCAAATTTTTTTCTACTATAATTCACTTAAAAAACTGCGCGTTCAAGAACATAATAATGGAATTTAAGAGGTCACCAACTTATCATTAATGGCAATATCATTTATTTATATAGTAAAATTACCACAAAACTAGTCTAAAATCATATTATAAGTACAAACTTCAACTTAAAAAAAAAAAACCTAAAAAGGGAGAATTATAGTGAGGTCCTAGGGAAGCAAAATAATTATTATCAAATCCTGATAACAAGCTAAGTAGCTTGTAATGACAAGTTCCAAAATAAAAAAATGATAACTTTGAGACTTATTTTGTAATTATTTTCTTTCTTTGGACCTCATTATAATTCTCCTTAAAAAAACCTATAAAACAAAGCATAATAGCACTTGACCTACAGGAAGCCATTATATATCAAGATAAAGAGTCCCTCCAGTGGACCCAACCTATATCAAAGATGAATAGATCAAATCAATCATAAATAGACATAATCCACTTAAAAGTGTGTCACATGCGTATATCTCTATTCATGATCAGTTTGACCTATCTGTCTCTTATAATTTGACTATGTGTCTATCTCAGAATTTTCTATCAGTACACTTTGCGTAGCGATTATGACAAAAGAGTTGAATGCGTGGGCCTCGCGTGTGAAACCTTAATGAAGACATCTTCCATTGTGGTGTCTGTTAAACCCCATGCAAACACAGTGAAGTTTCTCTTTGCAAAGCCAATAGCTCGGAAGACATCTGCTATTCTGACCTCTTCTTTCGGCAGCTCAAATTTCTGAGTTCCAGAGATATGGTATGTCTTGCTAGCATTTGGAGACAGCTTGTGCACCAAGTCCTCCACTTCATTCTCATGTTCTATAGATGTTGTCATTGTGAACACATAGCTTCCTCCATATCTTGCTTTAAGCTATCACATACAATTGAAATATCAAGTGTTAGGAAAAAATAGCAGTATTGAAAGATCAAGGGAAGTGCAATGCCAGAAGAGGTTCATAAATCACGTTTAGAGCTTGAAACGTGATGCCAACCCGACTTTTCTGTCGCGAAAAGCCACTTTGGCCCAACATGTGATGTTTGGGATGGCTTATGAGAAAATAAGTTCTTGAACCAAAAGTGAAATTAAAGCTAGAATGGCTTTTTCTGACTTTTCCTTTTTTTTTTCAGATTTGAATCTTGTGATTTTTCAATACATCATTTAAATAAGTTTCTATCAAAATGATTTTTATAAAATCCTATGCAAAGAAAAATCACATTATGATAATTAGCTTTTATCCCAACTTCAGTTTGCAAAAGCTAGTTAAATAAAATCACTTTTGCCAGCGGAAGTAGGGTCCAAACTCCAAAGGCACAAAGACTCAAGTTCTTTAAATTATTCTACTTGCGTCTATGTTATTGGAGACATCTAAAAACCACATCCAAGTTTTTCAGCATCCACAGAATGAAGGTCTTTAGATATGTTGTGATAAAGCATAACACTTTCATGGTTTTACCTCCTTTGGATTTCCCATGCACTGCCAGCTTCCATCTACGAAAATTCCTATTCGGTCACATAAGACCTCTGCTTCTTCCATGGAATGTGCTGAAATCAAGCAATATAAATACATAAGAAAAAGAAATCACTATTATGCTGTTATGAAGCTTGGGTAAAGAAAATGAGCAGATATGATTATTAACAATCCTAATATCCTATTACAATGATAGGGAGAAGGAATATACTGGTTAGTATGATTGCCCGATTCTGCTTTGCACGCTTGACAACATTCCATAAAATTGTTCTCGACGCAGGGTCTAATCCAGTACTTGGTTCATCCATATAAACAACCTTAAAAATTTTCCAGCAATTACAGAATGCTTAGCCTAACGTGGAAACATCTCCAACATAGGTTGGTCGAAGCAGATTGGATTAAGGAGGGATCAATACATACTTTGGGATCTCCAATCAATGAAATTGCAACACTAAGCCTCCTCTTCATTCCTCCACTGTACTTTCCAGCCTTTTTATCGGCAACTCCTCCATGAAAAAGGTTTACACTTTTCAGGGATTCTTCCACTGCCTGCAGCAGCAGAATGCAAGCAAAAGTTCTTAATTGGCAGAGAAGTGCCAAAGAGAAAGGTTTGACTCTGGACATTCATACTAATGACTGAGAGTTTACAAGCTAAAGTACTGTTCACTTCCTCAAAACCATCATATATGCAAAAAGAAGATATTTACATGAAAATTTGATTTGCATAATCCTATAATAACAAGTCTTCTGAAACACCAATCGCAAACGAACTTACTTGTGTTAAGGCCGAACCTTTAAGATTTTTAAGTCTGCCATAGAAGAGCAGGTGCTCTCTTCCAGTTAGAGTTTCCCAAAGCAAGCTATAATGTCACCCAAAAAAATTAGTAAATGTAATTTTCATTTTAGAAAAATATGAATAAAAGTTGGAGGAAAATTCCGACTTACCTCATGCTGTGGACATACGCCCATGCTAGTATATATTTCATCCATCTGAGTTCTAATGTCCAGACCTTGAACAAATGCGGCACCAGAGGTTGGCTTCGTGAGACCAATCATCTGTAACCATATACAATTTATAATGATTGTCAATGGCCAAATCCACCCGAAGGATTAAAACATCTTGGCATCAAAGGGAGATTCAAAGAGAACCGAAATGAACCCATCAGAATTTTCCCTTGGGCATATACATCCAAAATTTCATCTCTAGATACTGACAAATTGGAAGCTCCCTGATTAGTCCCAAAAAAAAAAAAAAAGACAGGAGACTACTCCAAAGGTTTGTTTATATATCTTAAAGAACTTCAATTTAACTGACCATATTGATAAATGAGGTCTTCCCAGCACCGTTGGGGCCCAGCATACCAAAGCATTCCCCTTGAGGCAAAGCAAGAGATAAACTCACTGCATATTTCTCTGGGTTTCCATCCCTAGCTGGATAAAACTTTTTTTAAGTTGTCACATACAATTGCCTGATTCACAGATGGTTCAAGTAGCAGCTGCTCGACTTTTTCCCTCTGGAAAAAAGAAGAAATCAACGCATCATGCAAGCAAGTCACACGATAACATGAATGACCAAAAATACCCAAGAAAAAAAAGTGGCGACACGTGCTTGAGATCAATATCTGGTAAAATTATTGGTATAGTTGAGTGACGAGTAGAAGCTAAGCAAGTCAAAATGCTTGCACTGAAAATATATAGTACAAGTATTTGAAATATGCATAAATACCTCTTGACTGACATCAGGTTTCTCCATCTGAACAAAAACTTTTGATCCCTGCCTATGAATGCTAGGCTTCCGGAATGATGACATAGGCTTTTTCTGAAATCTTTTCAAGAAAAAAAGAGGACTTTTGCGACTTCCTGATACTTGATCAATGTAATAAGCAACAAGAAGCACCATAAACCACTCAATAACCATGATAATTAAGACCTCTCTCATGCCATTTACACTATCATTCAGATCTCCCCATCGCATCGCATTGTTTCCTGTAGCATGTGCTTCGAAGGCATATGATGCTAACTCATAGAGTCCACGATATAACGCAAACCCAGGGTACAACTCTAAAACAACTATCCACCCTCCTGAAGACACAGCAGGCAATTAATAGGCCAGAAAGGTTAGACTTTACAATACAGACACGACACGTATAAAGATGACAAGCAAAATCTCTAATATATACTGGATACAAATTCTAAGAATGGTCATCATATTAATCCATTCTTTTAAGCTACATGAAAATGATGAACTTAGTGATAGAGTAGAATTCACTCCATTTCAGTTATCACAAGTTTACACAAAAAAACTTGAACCAATAAGCTAAATGGAGAGGCTGGGAAGGCTGGACAAGTAGCATAAACCTACACATGATTTGCACAAGTTATTCCCTTTGAAAAGATAATAATATACCAGAGGATTCATTATGGGGGAAAAAAATATTGATGAGGAAGGCCTATCATATAAGGGGAAGCAAAATCGAGAACAATGTTCTTCACCCTAAATTTGGACAGGCATGTTCATAGCCACTGAAATAATGAATTTACCGTGACTAGCGGGACAAAGAATGTTGAGGAAATTGGAAAAGACACCAGTTGAAGACAATTCAGTTGTTTCCTTTCTCTATATGCTAAAGAGATTGAAACATCTACTGGCGAGAACATAAATAGTTACTCTGAAGGATATTGTTATGATCATCAGCACCACCATTTACTATTAGAAAAATGCTATCTAATTCTATTGTATAAGAATCCATCAAAAGATGACAAAAAAAGCACATCAATAATATAGAAGATCAGAAGGACAAAAAGAATTGCTATTGTTCCTCGGCCAACCAACTTACTTGGAAATGATGTATCTTCAACAAAAAAGTTGAAAAGAAAGCCACCTAAAAGCCCAGATGCAAAGACACCAATGTATGCAATTACTGCAATTATTACAAACAAATGTCAGTAATCAGACCTGAGAATAGAAGCACTGAACGCCTAATATGAACAACACAAAAGGATTAATTGCCAAACCTGTAGCTGTCTTAACATTCGAAAACATGGTGGCCACAAGAAATACCAACGAAATTTGCAAGTTTATCAAGATGAAAAAAAAACGAATTGGATACTGTAGTCATTCGTTGTAAAGAATTTCAACCCTGTAAATGAAGTCAGCTGTATTAAAGAGAATCCAAAATGTCAAAAGTGAAAATAATTCACATGCTTGTATTCTACCATCCTTACCTATGAGGGAGCCAAATATCACAAAGCATAGCACATAGAGCACTGACAGGGAAAAAAAATAGCCATAGGATATCATCCAATATGGCCCATCGCCAAGACCGTGCATCTTATCATTATTCTGAGTTTCTTTTCCTTCTCATACACCAGTGATGTCAAAATACCTACACGAATGAAAGAGAAGTTACACACCTGAAAAGTTATGTATGCTAGAATAAGTGCCTGACATTTTTGTCATATCAACGTCAGATGTTTATGTAATTCTGGTCCTTGACTTTGATTACATGAATTGTCCAGCAGGGAGGAAGCCTGCTCCAAGATAATTGTCTATCTACTTCATTACATACAGGAAAAGAAAGTCCAAAACAAGTAACTATATGGTTACTTTACAGGTCAAGAAGACATAGGGCAAAGAAAGAATATCAGGACTATATTGGAAAAGATAAATAAATAAATAAAGAGGTTCCACATAAGATTGTTTTTTGATCATGGATTCTTAAGGAAACTGAAGACTGGCAAATAAACATAGACTCCACAGATCAATTAATTATCCATCAGAAACCATTTCTGCTATGGATTGATGTACATACAGGGAAAAGTTGCAGGAAGACCCAAGTAAAGAAGAGGGGACCCAGAAGAGAAGCCACGTCAATTCTCAATGGGTCTCAGGTTTTGGCATTTCCTTTACAAACTCAAATAACATCTCAGTACCGGACCCAGCAGAAACTGAAGGAAGGCATTTGATACCTGCAAGTGTATATATACATGTTAGATGTTGGTCAGTATCGTGATTTGTCAGATGCAGGTCAATAAACCAAAAAAATTGAACGGGAAACAAGGGAAATAAAATAAAGGGACATTGCCAATATATTTATGTGTCGGTCAGTATCACTACTTGCTAGTTGCTTCTTCCATTCAAATTAGATAGTGATAGATAGTAATGATTTTAAAAGTCATTTCAAAGAAAGTATCTATACCTCAGTTCAAAATTATCCACCTCTAATGACTCAATTTGTGTTTTAAGCCTTTATTCATATTTCGGTCATATGAACATCTTATATGTTAGGAGTTGATGCTTTATAGATTTTTATCAGGTATCAGAATACTAACAAGAGGATGAAACAAGTAAAACATATCATACCAAATTTACTGAAGGAGGAACTCGTGCCAATGCAATTTGCTGGAAACCCGTGT